GTGAAGCAAAACTTGTTGGAAAACAACTAGCACATCGAATATATAGGCACTGTTTTTTTTAGATAGAGAATTTTTTCTTGAAGTAGTCCAGTCGAAAAAAAGACTTAGTTCAATTCAATAATTGAAATCTATAGTCTTTAATTTTTTTTTAATTTTGCGCGAGCTGCAATGTTTTTTGTTCCAGCTTACAGAGAAAAAGATTCAATATCAATTCAAACAAATAGTTTCATAGATTGATAAACTTTTCTATAAAATTTGAATATTTTTAGCTCTAATGTTTCAGCAAACTATGGCACTCAAGCGATACCTCTATCATTGTAACAGTGATCCTCGTCCGCGCGAGGAGAGTCGTTTACCGCAAACCAATTGAGTTCCTTATATTAATTTACAGTCTAGAGGTCATGGCGCCTATAAACAATTAGGTTGAGCAAAACCTCTTGAGAAGCCATATCTCAGATGGAGCAGTTTTACGCAATGTCTTAAAATGAATGAACAAAACTGAAAATTGAAACTGGAAAAACTATTTCACATAATAAAATTGCTTTGTTTTTTTTAAAAAGCCTCAAAATTTCCATCAAAAATATCGCAAAAAAATAAATTCGAGTCACCCGCACCAAGCGCCCATGGATCATAATCGATTATATTGTCATAAAATGGTCCGTATCTTGAAAATTACAATGTATCTGGATATAACCCATTAAAAACTATATAATCCCAATATTTTTATGTCAATGTAATCGATTATAATCAATTAAAAATGAAACGAAAATATTCCATCATAATCTATTATAACCTTCTATAATGGATTTTTTTTGAGAGTTTAATTATGAAAATTGCAATTTTTTTCACAGTTGTCTCATCTCTTGTTTAAAGCAGTTGCTACGTATTACGTGTCATAAAACATTTTTTTTTCCCAACAAAAATTGTATATTTTTTGTCTGTACTTTTTCAATTCATCTCAGTTTACACTCCCCTTTACTTCACCACCACCCCTTTACTTTGCCTTCTTTACTTTACTCCTCCCTACGTTTAGCTCCCCAGCTCCCTGCCTGTTTACCAGAAACGCTTGTCGCCCCCTCCCCCCCCCCCCCTTAGGGGGGGGAGTTTATTGGTAGACTTTGGGAAGGGTTAACGGTTGACACCCCTCAACGGTTGACAACGCTTGTCGCCCCCTCCCCCCCCCCTTAGGGGGGGGGGGGGTTTATTGGTAGACTTTGGGAAGGGTTAACGGTTAAACCCCAGCCCCCCCCCCCCCCCCTAGTTTCGGCCCTCGTCCAGCTTAACCACCCCCGCCCCCATTGACCCTCTCCCGCAGTTTAACCAACCCCCATGTAATCCCTCCGCCCAGTTTACCTCCCCCCGTTTATCCCATCTCTCTTTAGTTGGTGAAGCAAAACTTGTTGGAAGACAACTAGCACATCGAAAATATGGGCCCGTTTTTTTAAATAGAGATTTTCTTCTTGACGTAGTTCAGTCGAAAAGAAAGACGTAGTTCAATTCAATAATAGAAATCATCAGTTTCTAGAATTTTTTTAAAATTTTGCGTAAGCTGCAATGTTTTTTGTTCCGGGTTACTCAGAAAAAGGTTCAATATCATTTCAAACAATTAATTTTATCGCTTGAAAAAGTTTTTTAGAAAATTTAGGTATTTTAGCTTCAAAATTTCAGCAAACTAAGGCACTCAATAGATACCACTACCATTGTTTCAGTGATATTCGTCCACGCGAGGAGAGTCGTTTACCGCAAACCAATTGAGGTCCTTATATTATTTTACAGTCAAGAGGTCGTCGCGCCTATAACAATTAACTTGAGCAAAACCTCTTGAAAAGCCATCTTTCAGATGAAGCACTTTAGCGCAATGTTTTAAAGTGAATCAACAAAATTTGAAAAATTATTTCGCATAAAAAAAAAGCATTGCTTTTCAAAATAGCATCAAAATATCGCAAAAACATTAACTTCAAATCACCCGCACCGAGCGCCCATGGATCATAATCGATTATATTGTCATAATATGGTCAGTATCTATAAAAGCACAAAATCATCGGATATAATCCATAAAAACTAAATATAATCCCAATTTTTTTCTGTCAATATAATCGATTATAATTTATTAAAAATGGATTTGAGTCCAAATTTTTTTATGCCAATATCATCTATCATAATCGATTATAATCTTTTTAATGGATTTTTTCCAGAGATTAATCATGAAACTTGCAATTTTCTTCACAGTTTTCTCATTTCTTGTTTAAAGCAGTTGCTACGTATTACGTGTCATAAAACATTTTTTTTTCCCAACAAAAATTGTATATTTTTTGTCTGTACTTTTTCAATTCATCTCAGTTTACACTCCCCTTTACTTCACCACCACCCCTTTACTTTGCCTTCTTTACTTTACTCCTCCCTACGTTTAGCTCCCCAGCTCCCCGCCTCCCTACCAGCTTACCACAAGCGCCATTCGCCCCCCCCCCCTCCCCTATTAGGGGGGGGGGGGTTTGGTTATTGGTAGACTTCGGGGAGGGGTTAATGGTTGACCGCCCAGTTTAACCACCCCGCCCCCATTCCCCCCCCGTGTAAACACCTCCCCCAGTTTACCTACCCCCGTTTATCCCCCTCTCTTTAGTTGGGGAGTAGGTAAAAAACCGTGAAGGGGTGACGTTGAGACATGGACATGGCATTTAGTAAAAGACATTGCATACACTTTGCAAACTTCTTGCAAAATTTGAAAATTGCTGCAAAAATATTCGAAATTAAATCTATAAATAAAATGGATTATATTGGATTACAGTGGATTATAATTGACTTTTTTCAAAAAATAATCGATTGTACTGCATTATCTTGGCAAAACTGATCCATTTTTTGCCAAAAATAATGGATTGTAATTGATAATAATGGATTATTTTTTTTCAAAAGTAATCGTTTATAATGGCAAAATAATCGATTTCGTTGTCTGAGTTTTAAATCTTTAATGGATTATAATGGATTGATTTTGTCTCGAGAATCCATTATATCTGATTAGATGGGCGCTCGGTGCGGGCAAACAGCAGTAAAAAAAATGAAACCATAAAGCATGCGTTATAATCAAACTATTAATTTAAGCAGGCTATACTTGAGAATCGATTAAGTTTTGATTTTTAAAAAAATAATCAACACGATGAGCTGAAAAAGAAAGAATGATAATCGTTATAAATTGATTTGAATTGATTTAAATGAAAATACATTGATATCAGTCGAAATAGAATGCAGTGACAAGTGCTGTAAAAACACAAAAAGGATGAATGTAGATCAATTTTTAATCTAATCCTAATGATTTTTTTGCTTTAGTGTTTGTTAAATTTGAATCGATATGAAACAGGGGCGGATCTAGGATTTTCTCGAGGGGGGGGGCGGATTTTCAAAAAAAATCGAAAATTTTGTCAACCCTTTTTTTAGGTCGACCAAATTGATTTTCCTAATTCTGCCATAGAACTAAAAAGACCCTGTTTTGGTCAGATTTTCTGCGCCGCAGTCAAAATTTAAAAAAAAAGGCTAAAAAAGACGTTTTTAGGCTTTTTTTGGAAAATTTTGACCAAAAAATTGCGTTTTTTCGGCGCGCGCTCCCCCCTCAAAATTAGCATATATTTGGCTTGGCGCCAAAGGAGCCTTTAGAAAACGTTTTAGGGTCCGTCAGCCAAAAATGGATATCTCAAAATAGTACAAAGGGGGACCCTTTGGGTCGGCTGGGAGTCGAATCCCTGAGAGAAGGGGTGTCCGCCCCCCCCCCCCCCCCTAAATCCGCCCCTGATATGAAATCAGTTTGAATACATACCATTTGTCTAAACTTTTCAGGAACTTATTATATAACTTCTTGCGAATACGAGAATTCAAGTGTGCCTGAGCATACAAACAAAGCGACAATAAAAAACGGAAACCAAGCAAGATATCAGGAATAACTCAACTAATATAAACTTTTGTTTCAGCAATCGTCAAATTTTGAAAACTCCATGTTTTTCATCAAATGCTTTTCAGGTTATCATTACTTTTTTTCTAGATTACAACATTTTTTAAGATCTTATAACATTATCGCTCTGATCATAGATACAATTGAGTTGCTTGTCTCGGGATTTGCTTAAACGTATCGAATAAGCTTTTCAACAGCAAGCAACATATTCGAAAACTTTTAGAGGGCTCCTATGGAGATGTTTTAGCAAAAATACACCGCAACTTTGTTAACTTCATTTTTGGTTTAACTAATCGCGAGTCAACTTTAAACATTGGAGATGAGCATAAGAAAAGCTTCGACTTGAAGAGGCGGGTAATATCTATCGGCAGCCAATCCCAATTTGAAGAATTAAGTTTGTTTCACCTCTGAAGTGTCGCGAGATCAAACAAACAGTAAAACAAAAAATAACAATGTTTTTGCTACGTCAAAACCCTTTTGTTTGTTTTGAGCAATCAAAAACGTCTTCACCTATTCCTGTTGTCTGCCAACAATTTACGTCAATCGATAAAATAGAGAACTTTATACCAAAAATCATGCGACTCATGTAAATGGTGGTTTGTTCTTTGTTTTTAGCATAAAAGTTGTAATTTTTTGTTTTTATCATCGAGGTCATTGAGCCCGCCCACAATTAAACTGAAAAGTTGCTTTAACTTGAGCACAAGCAAGATCTTCAGTTTTATGATGATATTGTCTGAGACATTTTTTTCAACCAAACTAAACGTTTCTCTTAATCTCGTCAAGACTTTCCATTACCTTGGCCGGATCTTGCATCACATTTTATTCTCATTTTATTTCATATTTTAATTTTAGTTTGTTGGCTTTTCATACTTTAATTTTTTCGATATATTTTTTTATACGTTTTTTATACTTTTATCAAAAACAAAATGTATTTTTAAGATGTTTACACTTTTACTTTTCCTTTTGCTTTAATTTTTTTTTAATTTTTAAGTTTTTTTATACTTTTACTTTTGCTGTAACTGTTTTAATTTATATGTATTTATATTTTTAATTTGTGTTCTAGGCAATCTGCTGTACTCTTCTGTCGAGTGTTTCTGGATCGGCCTCCTCGTCCTCTTCCTCTCCCTGGTGGGAACAGTGGCCAACTGCGTGGTGCTGGCCATGTTCGTGTCCAGAAAAGAAAAACAGATGTCCGACCACCTCATCATCTACATGACGTCACTCGCCCTCCTCGGCTGTTCAGTGCAGATGCCAATGCAATATTTCCTACTTTTCAATGCACACGACCCCATAATGGGTGAGTCACCAACAATTTTGGAAACTTTCGAAACTTTTGGGGTAGGGGATTTCAAAATATATAACAAGTATAACAATAACAAGTCTAGTTATAGTTGCACAAGCTATAAATTGTTTTGCATGTTGTAATACAATACACCTGTCATTAATGTATTTTGATAAACTACCCTTTTTTCTCAAAAAGAGACAAAGAACTCTTAAAATTTGTATTTTTTGACAAGACACGTACCATAAATGTGTGATCCGTGACAAAAAAGCAGGAACAATTTTTGGTTTTGATGTTTCATCCCTTGTTTCGCGACGGGCTTGAAGGCAATTTTTTTTCTGTCCTTTTTCTACTGATACAAAAAAACTCTGAGCGTTTTAGAAGCATTCATCACAAGTACTTGCATGGCCAAAGTATTTTGAAATAATTCATGATGATATTCAGCCCAGTAAGAGCAATTCGCCCTCGTAAGGTAATCTGAAAATTTTCAGGAGTTTTTTTCCGTCGATGCGGTTAATTCGTTCCATATTCTGCCAGAGAATCTTCTACAAGAGTGAATAATTTTTGGAATTTCTATAAAAATTTTCTATTTGATTTAGCGAATCTCCGAACTCCTAAACTGTTTGTTCCACCCCTCTATTCTAAAGATCATAACAACCGTCGCTATTAGGTATTGCCTCAAGCTTTTTTTAATCGCCGAAAACAGTTTAAAGGAGTTTATTTTAAGTAATCACGGATAAAAATCAATTTTGTGGTTATAAAGATAAAGTTTTGTAGGAAAAGCTACTATCGTATACGTTTCTTGTCGAAAATGTTCTTCAATTACAAACTTCTTACTGTACTTAATCGAAAAAAGATCATCTCTTGTAACACTCTATGAGCAAAAAGATCGCAGGTAACTTTTGAGAAGAAGAATTTCAGAGAGTTTTTACCAAAAAAGTGTTGTTTTGGGATTATAAAGTATAGTAGAATTCGGATGAGACATGACGACGATGCAACACTCTATGATAGAGGCGATGCAACACTCTCTAAAATAGAGCCAATTTTTTTCATTGCAGAAAACATTGGTGAATAACGTTCAAACTTATAAATTGTTTCAACCACAACTTTTTTTAATGAAAACAAGAGGGTTTGAAACTGACATTTTTGTCTTATGGAACAATTAGTGCTCACAGATTTTTCATTTTTTCCCCCAAGCTACCGGTATTCGGTAGAATTAATCCAGCTCAAGTTTTCCATTTTTCTAAAATATTGATACAAAGGATTAAAATCTACATCAGACAGACAGACATGCTAGGGGGCAGTGGAGACATCCAGGAAGCAGTCTTTTCCTTGAGTTTTTTGGCATAACTTCAAATACTGTAGCAGCCCAATGTGAGGCTAGTGGTAAATCTTTTATCCCCGTGCTTGACAAGTCTATTCCGAGTTAGAACGAACGTCGATGTTTTAAGTATCAAAAACTTTTTACTTTCTTCTAATTAAAGAAATTACCAAACTCTAACGCAACTGGTTTGTCAGCAGGTCTAATTGAAGCTAATTAACTATTCTGACATCTCGAAATAGCACCGGTTTTTGAAATTCATGAAAAAAATGTGTTAAGGTGGTTCTTATTGTCCGATAAAAACTGTTTCAAATTTTTCCACATTTTAATTATTTTAACTTTACATGCTCACGTATATAATACATTTATGTATGATCATAGAACTCCTGTTCCGACATATCAAACACAAAGTACAAAAGGTATTTTTTTTCTCACTTTTGACCACCTCTAAAGTACTCGGAAAATATCAGGTATGATATCATAATAAAGCTAAATCAGCCGCCGTGACCAGGGGCGGATCTAGGATTTTCTTGAGGGGGGGGGGGCGGATTTTCAAAAAATTTTCCAAAATTTTGACGACTTTTTTTTTTTTTTTTAGGTCGACCAAATTGATTTTTTGAGCTCTCCCAAAGCTTTGTTTTGCCCCTATTTCGGCAAAATTTCCTGCGCCGCAGGCAAATTTTTGAAAAAATCAGTAAAAAAGGCGTTTTTAGGCACATTTTGGAAAATTTTGACCAAAAATTGCGTTTTTTCGGCGCGCGCTCCCCCCTCAAAACTAGTAAATATTGGCGCCAAAGGCGCCTTTAGAAAAATTTCAGGGTCGGTCGGCCAAAAATGGATTTCTTAAAAAGTACTAAAGGGGGGATTTCTTAAAAAGTACCCCCCCTAAATCCGCCCCTGGCCGTGACCCAAACTCTTAATAAAAATGTTCAAAAAATTTGTTTAAGCTTTGAGAAAATTGAGCTTGCTTTTTTTCCGCTTTCAGACTATATGACACAAAAAACAGGAAACCAACTGTCTTTTGAGCTCTGTCAATTTTCTTATAAAAAATTGATAAAAAATTAAAATTTCAAAAAAATTGAAACTTTTTTCAGACTTTTCTTTGAAAGCCCTAATCAAGAGACTTAATAATAGCATTCCTCGGTTAAATTTGGAATGATTTACCAAAACTTGTCCTAGAAAGCCCTAATAAATTGACCTAAATAGACCTAATAGCAGGCCACATTTCAATTTGGAACGATATACCAAAGTTGGCCCTATGAACTTTACCCAATTGGTCCTATGACCACCCAAGAAGAGCCCAACAGCAGCTCAGTTGTCAGCAAGAATTTCGGGAACCCCGCAACCGGAAACCGCAACCTGAGCACGATGAGGATCAAAAAAGGTTCGAAAGTAGGTTGTGGGAGGTTAAATTTTCCCCAGAGAAGGTAAATCTTCTCCCCGAGGTTCCCCTCTGGGTCATATTACCTAGACCAGCAGCACGCCACCCAGCTAAAAAACCCTTGCTTCCGGGGGAGACCTCCGCAGAACTTATAAATTCTGCAAATTCTCGAAGGATCAATGCATCGCAGCCAAGACGGCAGCCCGAAGTCGATTTGGGATGTAACGCCCAAGAAACCTGCAAAAGGCAAAAAAAATGAAATTTGGTTGAGCGCTTAAAACTAAAATTTGTATTTTTAAAACTTACATTCTTTAATTTCGTAACTCGTCATTTTGTAATTTAGTCAGCTACACTAAGTTTCTTCTTTTAGTTTCAATTTACAAAATAAATGATAATTTTCAAGTTTCTCAGTTTGAGCAAGTATCCCGCAAAAATCTTCAAAAGTAAGTTACATTTGAAATATTGGTGTCATAATTTGCGGAAGAAGTGCAGTTCGGCTGGTTGAAAAAAAAATTAAAGTTGCTAATTGGTTGAATTTAGTAAATGAATTTCTAGGAAAAAAGAACTTAAAGCGGATCAACCTAGCTGGTAAGCCTTCAACTTTTTCGATGAAGAAATGATTGACGAAAATGTGGTTTTGGACGTGCAGATGGTGATGACGAGTATGAACCAGTCCTGAATTTTTGACTAAACCGCTTATCGATTAAATAAATTTGTTCTTTTGCCTAACCAACTGTGCTATCCCACTGAGTGTAAGTTAGATTTTGTAGTAATACATTTTAGTATTAATTATTCGAACGCGCTTCCGCTCGGTTTTATCCAGCTTCCGCTGCAGCTTGTCTGCTGCTTCATCTATTTAGCCAATTGACCTGAATTGCTTAGAGATAAATTCACTAGTCTCAAAATAAGGCAATGTGATCTAGTGGTTAAACCAAGCGCCTTGAAGGTATGTGGTTATTTCTTTTTTTGCTTACAGAATTATTTTCTGTTTTTCTTTTTTTGCTTACAAGTTGTTCTTTATTTGGATACTTTTTTTATTCAATTGATCACTGGACTGAACAATTTTTTTTTGACGGGATAAGTTTTGCTACTCAATATAAATTTAAGTGAGACAAGTCCCTTCAGGTCCCCCCATAGCATTTAAGATAATTGTCTTAATTCGTGAGGGAGGAGAGGGTAAAATAAAGAGATGTCCTTGTCTGATACTTGCGAAAACGATGGTTTAGGTGGGGGGAGGTTAATAAAATGCAAGGACTTGTCATTTGCTGAAAAACAGAGACGGTTATTTGTCTCATTAACTGATTTAAATGGTCATATGAAAACGAAATTGTGGAACAGCCTTTATTAAAATTCGAGAGGATAAATTCACTAATTTACGAAAATCAAGTGATGAACTAATGGGTCCGATACAAATTAAAACAGTTAAAACGTGCGCGTGAAATCCAATGACGAAAAGAACAAATTGAGTGCAAAATCTACTGAAAAACAGCAAAAACTAGCGACAAAGAACAAATTGATTGTGGAATTCACTGTCAATCAGTAGAATCTAGCGACATTTTGCATCAGTTTACTTCAACTGCAAAAAAACTTTTGTCTGTAGAATTCAAAACAAAACAATATTTATTTTTTGTCTATAAAATCCTTATTTTCACTGGATTTTCAATAGTGCGTAAAAGTTTTGTCTTTTTATTTCATCAAATATTCGACTTCAAAAGCTTTTCGAACTTTTGCGGAATCTATTGCAAATTATGCGGATTCCAGAGACAATGTATGCTTAATCGAAACCTCTGCCAACGTAATCGAGCTTGTTTGACAATGTTGAGTATCAAGTTTTGCGCCGAATTGTTTGCATAGTGTTGGTTTTTGAAAATGTTTTCAGTTTTTGTAATTTCTACTGAGGGAAGTGCTCGAAAGTCAGTTTGGTCAAACAAAAAAGTTTTTGGATAACCCGCGCGTCCTTGGGACGTGCGCATCAAACTTTTGACGGGGAGTGAAAAAAATAGTATTTCGATTTTAGAAGAGTCATTTCGATTTTTCCAGTTCTCGCTCTTCAAATCCCCTATACCTCACCACACTATTTGCTAATAGTTATTCAGTTTATTTATTATTATTATTTTTTATTCGTTTCATGTTTATACTGTTTTGTATTGCAGGCTGTAATGTCTTCTCCCCCACCCAGTACTTCCTGTGTTTCCACGTGGAGGTGGCGTCTGCATTCGCTCTGGTGCTGATCGCATTCGACAGATTCGTGGCCGTGTGTAGACCTTTCTACAGAGGAGTGACCCCCCTGAGAGTGACTATCGCTCTAGTCACATCCAACGCAGTCGCTGCTCTACTCAGGTTAAATACGCACCCAACATTTTCACAGCCCCCTCCCAATTAAACACTCAAGCTGTATCGGGCTGCTAATAGCTTTTTGTTTTGATAAATAACTAAGTCGTGAGTATATTGATGAAGAAAGAAAAATTGGCGTGCAGACTTGTGCAGACTCCGCGAATAGCATAAACCACAAAAAAACATAATCGTATGAGCCAGTTAATGGACCAGTTTGTAAATGTCACAGTTGCCGCATAATTTGGATAAAAAACATAGAGTTTAGATATTTTCTCCAGGAATGAAAGAAATAAAATGAAACTAGCAACACTTGCCGGAGAGCTGATTAAATCCTGCTTCTGTTTTTCTTCGTTATTTTCCTGGGCTGGGTTAGGTCGTCTGCTCGCCCACAAGCAGCACAGCGCTCTTACAATTCCCGCTAGGCTAGTGGGTCAATGTATGTACCAAGTGCTGCTTCAAAAAGTTCGATCCAACAAAGCAGTCGCAAAAAAAACGTCGATACATAATCAAGTTTCACCATAAATAACCATAATCGGAATTGTAACAAGAGTCGACCAGGTTAGTTTTATGAATCCAGCATATTATGTCAATTTTTATAGTATGATGCCGATTTGAGACGTCTCGCCTAAAGTTTGGTTGCCAACGTTTTCAGTCCTTTTGGGGCCATTTTGCAACCCGCATGGGCAAAACTAAGATTGTAATAGATTAATATCGATTTTCAAACAGATTTTCTACCAGTAAAAAGTCGTTTGCGTGTAACCGAATTAGACATTAAAATGGGTAATAAAGGGATTTTATACAGCTCAGAAAAATCGATTATATAGTGTAGAAAATGCATTTTTTTGCGGTGTAAAATCTGTATAGAATCTGTATAAAATCGATTATATTGCTTAAAAACTGTATTAAATTTTATAAAAAAGTGATGGAAGCACTCATGGAAGCATGCTGTTTGAAAATTCAAAACAGCAGTTGAATTCAAACTAAACGACCCAAATCAAGAAAATCATCATTCTAAACAAGATTTTGGGCACAAAAAATGCAATTAAATCTTCAATATAAACAAGATCCTGCGCACAAAAAATGGAATAAAATCATGAACATCATCAATATAAACAAGTATTGATAACTTTCATAATTTTATTGCAATTTTTTGTGCACAGGATCTTGTTATCATGAATAAGATCTTGTTATCATGCAAAATCATCAATATAAACAAGATTTTTGACACAAAAAGTGCAAAAAAATTCTACAATATAAACAAGATCCTGTGCACAAAAAATGCAATCAATCATGAAAATCATCAATAGAAACAAAAATATGCAATGAAACACATAATATTATTAAAATGAAGCAAAATTTTGGCCACAACTACATTAAAAAATTATGAGTTTGGTCAAAATAAAGTGGATTTTGAGCCCAAAAATATGCAAACAAACTTTAAATGTTATCAGATTTACATCAGATTTTGGACCAAGCAAGGCAAAATTTTACCAAAAAGCAGGCCTGAAATCAATTTGGAACGATTTTTGATTTGGAACGAATGATGATATTCGGGATGATATTTTTCGTGATTTCTTTGACAACTCTTTCTGAAGTCAGTCAATCTGATATATTAATTTCGTATAGCGCGGACTTGTTCAGTTACTTTAGTGAATCAAGCCAAGAATTCAGAAAGAAGAATAATCAAAGTCATCAGATTTCAATTCTACCGAACTGGGGGACTCAAATTATGCAGCATTTCAAAAAGAAAAGAAAATGTTTTACTCAGAAAAGTTCTTAAAACAGCCGATTTTACAGAATCCGCAACAAAATTTAAGTCAATTTTTAACTAAGAAATTTGGATTTAATATATAAGTAATATATTGTTTAGGAGTAATTCATTGCTTAGGATATTTGCTGTGGCAACGGTAAAGAAGATCCGTGGAAACATATTGATTAGTGGAAACAGCAAAAAAAAAGCCGTTTTGCGGAGTCAGCAACAAATCCGTTTTCAGCTTGTTGCGTAATTCATATAGTTATTTACGACAGAAAATTGTGCGAACTTTCTTTGAAAAAAAGTTTACCACAAGCGAATGTTGTACACCTAGGTGTATAAAATTAAAATTAAACTATCCAAAATCGAACTCAAACATTATAATAGCAAGGTTTTAACAGAGCAATACAGTGTTTTAGCTATTTTGCTGTGGAATCCAAAACAGCAAAGAAAAATAAAAAAAAAGCAATGTTGCAGATTACGTGAAGATACTGTTGGAGCCTGTTGAGGAATCCGCTTTAAGCTCACAAAATAAACATTTTGGCCTTAAAATGTTCGGCCAGAACATTTTTTGTGCTTCTTACACAATGACCGGCTTGTCTCGTCTCGTTTAACTGTATTTGTTTTCAGCACTGCTGTAATCGTTCCAATGCTGAAGGGGAAATACTGGCTAGTGGGTGATTTTGCGCACGCAGTGCACGGGTTTCTACTTGCGTGCATGCTTCTATTGATAACTGGACTCTACGGGTACACAATTTACACCGTGCACAAAAAATCACTGGACATGGAAAAAGCCAAGGCGCAATCACATCTTGCTCCCAGTGCTAGTAAGAATTCGGAGGCAATTGGTTCATCTAGCGCGGCTACAAAAAGAAGCAGGAAAGTGGCAGAGGTTCGAGTGAACGTTCAACCGGCCGTGGATGAAAAGAAAGATGATGGTAAAGCAGGCGCGAACTTAAACGGGACAGAAGAACACGAGTCTTGTCAGAACGACAATTTGCTCCAAGGTACAAAGTTATGACTGAAACGGTAACTTGACTTAAAGATAGTTTGATAACAGCTTCGCCCCATCCCACAAATAATATTGTTTTACATGCAAAATTTGGACCAACTTTTGTTGTCTAAATTTAGCTGTGGAACTAGAGGTTTTATCGAAACTAGAGGATTTTTTTTCGGCCGTATTTCAATTAGGTCGCCGAAACTCATTGTCGGAGGTCTTCCTAGACATTATCAACACCCTTTTTTTCCAAAGCCGTCTGCGCCTCAGGTAAGTTGCTGGAAAAAGGCTAAAAGTTTCGTTTTGGGCTCCTTTTTTAAGATTTGACCAAAAATTGATATTCTTTTCATTGAGCGCACCCGCCTCAAAGTTTTTCTGTACTGGCGCCAAAAGCGTTTTTTTAAAAGAAAAAATGTATGTTTTTTGTTTGGCGGAAAAAAATGGATATGATACAATCGTACTAGAAATGAACCCTTTGAGTGGCAGTAGAACCACTGAGGAGTGGGGTTCGAATATTAGTCTAATTTAATATGGAAAAAATTGGAGCATAAATTTTTCATTTCCGAGCATTGAGGGTGTTAATAAGGTTGGAAAAGACTCTGTGAGAAGCCATTACTTCGAACGCCACATTTGGTCTGACTTAAGATTTGAAAACCCACCAAAGAATAAGTACAGTAGGAGCTCTGAATAAAATACTGCTATCAGTTCTGAAAGTTTCAACCAATAAGTTTATGAAAGTTTCTGAACCTAAGAAAATTTCGAACCTTAAAATTTAACAGGAAGGAATTTTCTGACAATAGGTATTTATGTCTAGTAATTGATGAAAAATTGAATTTGAAAACACACATCGATAAAACTTTGAAAAGGGAAGCTAAATCTTGCTCGACGATCTATCAACTCAGATATCAAATCTACACTGCTCATGGTTTACAAAACGTATGTTCAACCAATATATCAATATAGTGTACTGTTCTATGGCACAACTAATAAGACGGTGTTACAAAAATTAGAGAGCCAGCAAAGGCTCGCGTGGAGTAATTGTTTTAAAATTCAAAAACTGGAAACTCTGTTTGGTCCCAGAAATACATGTATATGATTTTTTCAAACTCATGGTTAAAATTATAAGACTATATATTAGCTATAAAATTATAAGACTATAAATTATAAGGTTTTAGATATAAAAATATATCTTGGGGAAATAAAAAACTTCATGAATGCATACGTGAAAAGGAAATAACAGCTACTGCAAAATCGGGCATTACAAGCAAAAAAAAACAAGAGCAAACAAAAATTGAAATTAGAGTAATATTATTAAAATAATACAGTTTGATAAAAAAAAAACATTCTTCTTCAAGCGTTAACAACTACCAATGAAACTTTGGACTCAATTTTTTCATAAAATAACAGGCATCTATATTGTGATAACGAACATTTTAAAAGTATCTTAAAGTAAATTTCCATCCCTTTGCAATAGTTTTTCTTGGTAATCTTATTTTGATCGTTAGAAAGAGCGAAATTTTTTTTTTATAAATAGGTTTCGATATTTGAAAACAATTTGCGGTTTTTTTGTTTACATGATCAAAGTTTGAAAACAGGAGACGAATTGAATTTACTCATGAAGATGCCACCTGACAGGTTGATGCCTTTTTGGTATTCTCCCAAGCTGAACTAAATTGTAAGCGTACAATTTCATAGAATGTATCATTATCAGTTTTGATTTGAAAATAAATCTAGCAAACTAAAACTACGCCATGATTTAACTAAGCTTTATTACAGATAGAATTGTTTTGAAAGTTGAGCTCAGGGTGTTAAAACCGTCTGATTTCGTTTCAAAAACTAATAAAAATTGCTGGTTCATTATGAGGAAACAGAACAATCTTACGCTCAGAGCAAAGCCTTTAATATTCAACTGCTCTTTGAAAGAAATTTTTTAAACTTTATTAAATGATTTTGATCTAGTTTTTGAACACCAATTAAAAAAAGTTCAAAACTTGGGCCGATTTTTTTCATTTTATTCAGATGTTATTAACAAAAAGTGTTGAAAATAGCTGTTTTAAAAACGAGGAAAACAACATCATCTATATAAAAACTTCGAACAAGACAGTTAGTTTCAGGGCAAATCCCTAAGTATACAACTGCCCTTTGAAAATTATTTTTTAATGTACTAAAAACTTTTCCAATATTTACATGACTTAAATCTATTTTTTTTGTAAACGTTTGCACATAGCTGCTCTGATACAAAAATATGCAAACATAAGTGCAAATTTCTGATGCGTGAACTTTCCTCTTATATACTCGAAAATTTTTGGTCAGATTTTATCGAACCAAAATGAAAATTTTAAATTGTTCACTTCTGAAAACAATCTCACGCACTCAATTTTTCAAACTACGTTGAGCATTTGACGATTTCTGGGATTATTTTTTGGAAAGATTTTAATAGCTTTTTTGGAAATATTTGAAAAGCTAGAAAAAATATAAAAAAATTCAGACCAAACGCTTTGCCGTTTACCCAACACTTTTATCCATTTTTAAACATATTATCAATGCCAAATCTCCAAAATCAAAAAAAATTCACATTGCATAAAAAGTCTGTCAAAAACATTGATTCAATTAAATCGAAATTTGCACATCAAAAAAATCAGACCAAGACAAGATTTGTATGAGTTCAACAGTTATTTGAAGCTTATTTGGAAAGATTCTGTAGTGCAAGATTGTTTAAAAAAAAGAGTATAAAAATTTGGATCTTGTTAATTATTTCCCCCCTTTTGGACCTTGTTAACTATTTCCCCCTATGCATGTATTATTTTTGACAAGCCTTTCTGTATAAAAAATGCATTTCAAAAATGTCAAACTTTAATTGGGTTTCATTTTCGCGTATTTGTATTACTCACTGTTTATATAATACCTACATAAAAAATACCAATTAAATATATTTCCTGAGAATTGTTTTAAACGATTGAAAATGTGGCAGCCAAAATTGAATTTCTGAAAATCGAAATAGGGGGGGGGGGGCTAATAGTTAACAAGATTCAAAAATTTTTAGTAGTGACATCAGGGAGTCAATATCTTTATGGGTTATGGAAATTAATCAATAAATTATTTTGATTGCTAAAATTTGTTTGAGTAGAAAAAAAACAATCAAGCAAAACTGTTCCGAAAAATACTATCCGCATTTAAGAAAAGTGAAAACAAATCGATTATAATGGATTTTCGTGGTCTAAAAAGTTTTAAATATAATCGATTCCCATGTTACGCTCAGACAAAAAAATTGGACTAAAATGGATATAAATCCATTTTTTTCAGCAAAAATTTAATGCATTATAATTCATTTGAAATCCATTATAATGGATTATATAAAAAGTAGAAAATCACATTAAATTGGATTTTTTTTTCACTTCCCTTGTTTCGCTGTTTTAAAATGCATTCTAATTAAATTAAAATCCATTATAATGGATTATATAATAAGTAGAAAATCACAATAAAATGGGTTTTTTTCCACTTTCCTTGTTTTGCTCTGTTGAAAAACTGGTTGCAATTTCAAATTAATTCCCTCATTCATAATTTATTTCATAATCATTCATAATCATTCATAATAGATTTTTGCAGTTCTTTCGTGCAGTGGAATTTCTCAGTCACAGTCTCCCAATTAGGACAAAGGAACTAGTGGAAGGCCCGAGTAATATTCCACGACCCTGGATTCTGTCTGCGCAGACGAAGACTCAACCTAGTTAATAATTAATACTAATGATTCTACGTTTATTATCATGTTTATTAACATATATACTTTTTGAGGTCGCACTATTTTAAGATTTTATTTTCGAAAAGTTGTAAAAAAATGGTTAAAAAAGTTTTTTTTTACCAGCTTACAAAAACTAAAAATTATCAAGATAAAACTACAAACTGTCACCACCAACGATATAGTGATCTGAGAAATGAAATGGATTTGATAGATCAGCGTGATATATTTTTAGACAGAAACAAAAAGTAACAAAAGTGAAAAAAAAAATCGATTATAATGGAGTAAAATGAATTTTGTTGCCTCGAAAAATAGTAACATTATAATCCATTTTTAATTGATTATAATGGATTTTTTTTCACTTTTGTGGGCAGTGACAACGAAACTCAATTACAATCGATTTTTATTCATGGAACTCCAATGCGGGTAGGTTTTCCAGATTCTGCATATTGGAGCAAGTCTAATTGTTGAGCACTGGATTAATTATTCTACGTGTGCAATGAAGTGCTTTTTTCAAGTATTGAAAACGAAAGGCTACTTGTTTCAATCGAGACAGGATAAAATCCATTATTATTCTGCCCAGCAGTTGTTCTTGTAATATTTCTTAATAGCAATTTTTCCAAACAAACTCCAATTGTAGTTTGATTGAGGTTATATGAATTCATAAACGTTTTCTTATCGCCGAGAAAACCTGATGGAGATTTCTGGTTTGTAGAGCAATATAGAGCCAAGAAATACTCTTTAGATTTCTTCGATTTAAGCTAAAGTCCCCAAAACCTTTTTTTAATCATTGATAGAAGCATTTTTGATTTATTCTAAGCTGGGTGGATTATATCCCGACGCACAAAAAAAAACAAAAGATTACTGAGTTCAAAGGAGATAAATAAAAAAATGGAATAGAATGTAAAAAACGGAAAATGATTCTTTTCATATGATGTCTAACACAAAACTAATTGTCCGCGGAAAATTTTTGGGTCTTGCGCATCCACCGTTCATTCTTCATAGTAAATAATTAATATAATTGTTCCAAAAAGTTTTAAAACACAAAAACAATACTTTTCATCAAACTCATAAAAATGTCGAGCAATTTGTATTCGAAAAACGCCAATTCGTTGCACTGCAGGTTTGAAAAATTTAAAAAATAATCTGTTGGTTTGGTCAGTTTAAAAGTTACGTTGAAAAGCAACACATTTGGCTGGCAAGCTAATTCATTGTGCAAGCCAATGAAAAAAAGTGCAGGCCTTTTTTGTGTCAGTGAAGTTCAATCTCATTGAACGACATGTTAGAGAGTATCTAGATTTCACTCCAAAATTGAAGATCGTGAAATGACTCAATTTTTTTTCAAACTTCTTTTACTCTTTGAGGATGTTTAATAAACTCTATGAAGAGTTCGCTCACACAATTTTAGCTTTATATACCTTACAGTTGGCGAGAAATTCAAAATTGAGTCAAAAAATCCCAAACCTGGAACAAAAACAAAATCAGCTCAATTTCAATTTACTAAACTTTTGAAAATTGCATTACGATGAACAAGGAGTCATTGGAAAGCGGTCTTTGGTGCGTGATCGTAGAACACAAATAAAAATCATATTTTAAGTATTATAACTGACCAAAGGCTATTTCTCCGCCAAAGTTCGGTTTTCCAATTTTTTTTTATCTGATACCCTTCCAAAGAGTAATCGACATACATGAGGACCTACATGAGGTTTAACTGGTTTTTTGTCCAGATTGAATGGATCAAAGAAGTTTTATCTCAATGAACGGATGTTGGATAGTATCAGTTTTCATTAAAAAATTGAAGATCGTAAAATGACAAAAAAAATTTTTTTCTTTTTTTTTCTTTTTTAAGGTATTCTATACAATTCTATATTCACATGCACATTTTCATCATTAAATGTCAAATGGGTGTTGAAAAACATTCCATCTAACATTTGGCTTATTTGCAATTGTCTAATTCTAATTTTAATTGTCTAATTTTAAATTAGTTAAGGTGGTCTGTTCGACACTTTTGGTCGCACCAGATGAGTTCCGTACTAGGTACTGTACTCATAGATTAATTTCAGATAAGGTACACCGTCTGTTTGTCACGCTTTCTTATTTTCGGCCGGATAGGTTTGTGCAATTTCTTAGTCTAATATCAATCTTACTCTGACTCTTATATCTCCTAGTCTCAATAGATCTAGTGTATACTGGTCTTTGCGAGTTAGTTCTTTTTGTTTATCCAGACGAAGAACAACTGTTTTCTAAGAGTTATTCAGATTGTTCTGGTTCTGAAACTACTTGTATGAGTGTCAATGTTAGTGATGGAATTTGATTCGTTAGTTAGTAATATTTTATAGAGATAGTTTTATCAATAAAATATTTCGTTTATAGATGCTAATTTGGAACTGTTTCCACCTCGCTCAAAATAAGGTGTAGAGGTTATTTTTATTTAGTAACTTATTTTTCAATTCTTTTGAAGCTGAATCACCTCGATCAAAGTCAGGTTGTCAGAGTAACTACACTTTATTGCATATTTTTCATTTAGGGTTGGAAAGTTAGCTCTAAAAATTTTTTATAGTCTAGTCGGTTAATTTAGCTGGAGAAACCACCAGAATCGTTGAGTTTCCACAAAATAACGATAGACCTAAAATAGCCCTGAAATTTTAAATACTCAATTTAACTCAACAATTGATTTTATATTCGGAAACTACATGAGCAGCGCTTTTGAAAAACATAAAAACAATGCCCAAAACCTTTTTTTTATACCCTTTTTCTCCGCAAACCAAAAATTGACCAAAAACGGACGTTTGTCTGGTCCCAATTTTTTATAGACCGTTTTTCCGGTTTTTTTCCATATGGGTATCCTAAAATTGTGTCGTATTGCCAAAAACCGAAGTCCCAAGTCTCTCAGACACTGGGAACCTTTTTGAGCCGATGCCTAAAAAGAGGGTTGGTACTTACCAAAAACGACACGGCTAGGCTTGTTCGCCAGCTTCAATTTAATTTGAAATGACTTTTGACCTAGATTAATTACCAGCAGTTACGATATATTGCTCGCAGTAAGTTGACTATCCCAATTTTCACAAACTGACATTTTTCATATTACCATAGTTTCCCAAAAAATAGTCCCAAATCAATTTTGTTGTATTTTAGCAGAAAGTATTGACATTTTTGCAAAAAAAAAAAAAATTTGAAATCGAAGCTGATCTCAAAAATATATCCACTGAATGTATATAACGGAAACTGTGCAATTAGATTTTTCTGCTTTTGGATAGCCCGGGATCTCGACGAAAATATCAACTAAAACAGCCGGTTACTGTGCAGGCAGCACTGGATGTTCCGATTATAGTCTTTAATAACTCACAACATTTTTTCCAAATTATTGTTGTTTTTTCTGCGTGATGTGATAAAAATATCTGAACTAAAAAAGTAGAAATATTCGACATCCATAGCAAATTACGCACTAATTTTTGCAGCAGAATAACTAGAGAACAAAAAAAATAGTCTAAAATATCAAAAAAAATCAAAAAAAACTTTTGAACGTTTGAAGCTTTTGATTCGCAAAATGGCGTTAAAAAATCCGAATACTAACTTCAATAGAGTAAAACTAAATTTAGGCATAAATAAGTTTTTTAAATTGCTTAAACTATGCATTAATGACACTACTCGCTCGCTTTGTTGCTCAAAGTTAAGACAAAAAACGACAATTTTACTCCTGTTTTACTCCTGAAGAGAACATAAAAAAAAGAACAAAAAACAACACACACGAATACAGAGTTACTCCCCTTTTTAAGGTTTGAACAAAAACACTTGATTTGAAGTACTTCTTTTCTTTCTTAAAATATTATTTTTTTCAATCACAAGCAGTTTCATCCCAAGCGAAAATTTGTCACATAGATTTAGAATGATTAAAAGATTTTTTAAAAATGAGAATATTTATTTTTTGAAGCTTCAATGGCGTTTTTTCATTCAATTAGCCGCTACCAAATCTCTGAAGCATTTCGTTCATTTTGTTTCAGTACGAGCTCAATAATTATGAAAAAATCTGTAATTGCCTTTTTTCTTTGTGATATCTCTTTTTCTGTTTTAGACAAGCATCGAGCACAAGAAAAACACAAAGATAAAATTGAATTTGACATGAAACTATTTCTTGCTCTCTTACTAAAATATCTTTTGAATTGTTTCTATTTTTGGTTAACCTAGTTTGAATGTAAACTAGTTTCACAATCTTATTTTAGCAAAAGAAAAATCTGTAATTGCATTTTTTCTAAGTGTTATATTTTGTTTTATTTTAGACAAGCATCGAGATGAAGAAAAAAACACGAAGATAATTTCGAAAAATTTTTTTTTCTTGCACTGTTACTGAAATATTAGCTTTGAACATCGCAATGCTAATTGATTGATGAAACAGCTCATTCATCGCTGAAAAACGTATTGATGATTCATCGAAAATTGGTCAATGAACCGCCGTCAGTGCATCGCTGAGCTGCTTCTAACGCTAACAACTAGGGCTTTTAAATTGGCGATGTAAGCTTTTGAGTGGTGAAGGTTTTTATGTCCTGAAAATGAGACTTATGGCCCCCAATCTAAATCCGCACCGGGAAAATAACTCTTCCTTGTTTTCAGCTGTTCCATCACCCTCCTCGTCCATCCTCCCAGTTCCACTGTCCAACCGTAATCACAAGAACTATTTGGGGTCCAAGACATACAAGAACAGTACCCAGTCGTCCACAGGATCCAGAAGCAGCACCTTGCCCTACATAAAGACCCCCTCCCAACAACCCAACCCCGCCTCTGCCAGGAAACGAAGAGTACTCTACACTGTAGTGGCCATCACTTTTCTGTATGTAGTCTGCTTCATACCCGGTTCGATGCTCAGTCAGGTCATGTATTGGGACGCCAGCATTCTGCTCGAGGCTTCCCCTCTAGGAGGTGCAGTTATCAGGTCAGTAAGCAGTTAAACTAAGGGGGAGGGGAGGCGCTGTGGCTTTGAGTGATGGGGGCACGGGATGGGGGGTGTTGCACTGGGATCGGAAGTTTTTTTCTCAACGTTTTTTGTTATAAAAACCTTTTCATAGTTTTTTTGGTTTCGTGTACAAAGGATTTTTGGTTTCGTGTACAAATATGATTTTTCCAAGCCCTGCGTGGATCTAGGACTTATTCGACGGTTGCTCATTTTTTCTAAATGTTGAAGCATTTATGATTACTCCTAAAGCAAAATAAGTTTTCTGTTTGGCCGCAAAAATTCTCCACCGATGGCAATTTTAAACAAAAATACCAAAAAAAGTTCAGTTTTTATGTGAATGGCCTCCTCAAATTTTGTTTTTCTTGGTGCCAAAACTGAATTTAGAAACACAATTATTTCACAAAATATAAACAAAAGTTTGGACTAAACATGGATGTCATAAATTATTACCAAAAAGGGACGCTTTGGGTAGTCAGGTGCCCTATCTCTGAAAATGCTGTCCGCCCTCGTCTTAAATCAAAAAGTCTTTGCAGCAAATTTATACTGCTTCAATTGAACATAGGGAAAAGCAAAAATTCTTATTTCAGATTTTTGCTCGCACATAGGTAAGAGCTATTAAAAATTTGAAAGTTTTTGAAATACTCTGAACTGCAGATCAAATGCAAAAGATTTTTAGAAGAATCTTGCAGAAGTTTGCATTTCAAGTTGCAGTTCAAAAAAAACGAAAAACCTGTAAAAGTTTTGTTTGTTCATTATAAGAGTTAGAATTCTCACAAGATTTTCAAATTGTTTCTTAAAAATGGATGACTCGTAGAAGAGATCAAATTGAACTAAACTAAGGCCACTATGAACAAACACATATAAGCTCTTAAGCAAAATTTCTGTTTGTTCACTCAGCAGTAAGACTGAAAATTATATCTGTCAAAGTTAAACCCAATGAATGTGAGCTATAATTGTTGTTCCGACTTTCGATACGAAAGTAACGGAATATTTGTGCTCGGGGTGGGTTTTTTTTTCTTCAGACAAATTTCGACTTTTTAACTAGCCATTGTTGACGGAATTTTTTATTTCATTCGAAAGCTATTGTTGTCTTGAGCTCAAATTTGAAAAGAGTTTTCACCTGTGATCATTTTTCGTAAAGTTATGGGGGTTTAAAGATTGCCGTTTTGGCCAATTTGGGACAATTAACGCGCGAAATATTTCACGCTATTAACGCGTAAGCGGAGAGTTAATCCGTCTTAAAATCGTTCCAAATTCGTTGAAAGAAGCTTATTTGCCATAATTGATTTGTTACAAGGAGCGAAATCTATCCTTTTGTACTTAATATGGCGTGTGGGGGGATGATTTTAATAAAAAATTTCAATTGTAAGAAAAAAATTTTTTAAATTTATTTTGATACATTTAATTTTTTGATGTTATTACTGCTCCATAAAACCTTAAAAGGCAGTCGGAACATTCAGGGCTTCGCCCTGATACGAGCAGTCTTGTTTGTTTTGGAAACTTTTTAAAAATGGTTTAGGGTTTTTTTATAGTTTACATCATGTTTCTGTAATCAATCAAAAATGTTACTGCTTATTGTTCCGACTTTCGATACGAAAGTGACGGAATATTTATGCTCGTTTATCTTAAATTGAATAAAAATTGGAAGGAAAAGACAAAAGTTGTGGAAAAGATGCTTGAAAGAGATGCACATAATCATCAGTTACGTTTCTGCGTCAATAAGGGGCTGCAACTGGCAAGATCCCCGTCAAATTGGTTTTGAGACTGTATACAAACATTTTTTTCCTAAAGACTTTTGCCCAGAAGTCTACATCTTGCAATAATATGAGCATTTCATCGCAAAAATCTTGCATAATTTTTCTTCAAATTGAACTAAGGTCTAGTAAACTTGTTGAAATATCGGCGGGTAAAAAAACTTCACATTTTGACATTTTTCTTGCCACTGTTATTTTAGTGTTTGCTAAATTGATCTTTTTCGGCGGGCAACGTTTCTATAAACAGTTACATATAATAGATCACAGTTATGCAAAGAATAAAAATTTATGGGTGAGTGGGAAATTCGGTGTTAGAGCTTTTAAATCCGCCAGTTAGGTATCGCAAAATTTGTAATTGAAAAAGAACCACTGTCTTCAGAGAACTTATTTCGAATTAATTCACAACCGTCCGGAAAAATTGAAGATATCTTTTTGCTACAAATTTTTTATCATAATGTGAACTTGATAGGAGAATTCGACGTTGTAACTGAGAAAAGAAAAAACGTTGCTGGTAAAATGATGCTGCTAATCACATACTTCCCTTGACACCCTGAATGTGATAAATCGCATAATTGGGTATGGATTGACGGTACATATTGAGCAAAAACTAATCAGGAAAAATAATATCAATGGTGTTCGAAATGGTTTTCCAGGTAAGATGAGACTGATTATCGGTCTAAATTGGGATACTTACTTGATACTAAATTGAGTCTGATTACCAAAATTATCTAGTGACTTAATTTCGTCGACTTGAAATTAATCACCAAAAAGAACACGGTGGTACCATTAAAACTGCTCGTATCAAGACGAAATCCAGAATGTTCAGACTGCCTTTTAATCTCAAGGAATTAGTGTTCACTATAAAAAAAATGATAAAATTTTCCCAAAAATGTTAATTATTTCATAAAATATCCCACGCTATATAAAGTAATAAATTTGCTAACCGTAAAGTAAAAATAGGACAAGTAGCATGCATCATTTTGGGAGGATTTTTAATTCAGATTAAGACTCTTCTTATTCGTAAATAGCTCGAAATATATCGCGCGTTAATTGCTTCAAATTGGCCAAACTGGGAATCCTTAAACCCCCATAAGGTTATGAAACATAATGACAGGGGAAATATCTTTTTAATTTTTAGTTCAAGCAACGTCAAAAAACGCCAAAATTTTCAAAATTTAACTGGAGAAAAAAAACACCTTCGAAAGCCGGAACAATTAAAAAACATAATATAGCAGGAGAACTATAAAGCATCAGACAAAATTCGGTCATAGCTTTGTATTCACTCAATTTTTGTTCCGACTTTCGTAACGAAAGCAATGGAATATTAACTAGCCATTTTTGACGGAATATTAAAAAGCATCCAAAAGGTATTGTTGTCCTGAACTTAAATTTGAAAAGATATTTCAACTGTGATCATTTTTGTAAAGTTAAGGGGGTTTAAAGATTGCCTTTTTGGCCAATTTGGGACAATTAACGCCGGATAAAATTTGCGCTATTAACGCGTAAGCGGAGATTTAATCCATCTTAGAAATCGTTCCAATTTGGTTGAAGGACTCTTATTTGCCACAATTGATTTGTTACTAGGAACGAAATCGATGACTTTGTACTTTATATGGCGTGTGGGGGGATGAGTATCACAAAAAAAGTCAAATTAAAAAAAATCATTTTTTGATTACATTTAACTTTTTCATGTTATTACTGCACCATAGACCTTAAGAGGCAGTCGGAACATTCAGGGCTTCGCCCTAATACGAGCAGTCTTGTTTACTTTTAAGCTAGCGTTTTTCATGACCTCGATTTAAGCTAGCGTTTTTCCTTTTCAAAATTTTATAACCTCTGAAAGATATTGTTGTCCGTAGGTCAAAACAAATACAAACAAGACTGCTCGTTTGACTAAATTTGAGATAGCGTGAGAGTGGGTTGAGGTAGCAGATTGAATTATGTATCAAGTGCGATGTGAGTGGTCTCGGCCCGCGACGAACAACCATATGCTTGACGGCGGCGCATGCCTCAATATCATTCAAGAAAACAAGATATATACAAAAAAAAATTCAGGTAATTGTTTCGATTTTCCAAGAAAGTGAGGAATATATGCTTGGGATAGTTTTGTGTATATTCAGACCAATTTTATAAATTGTTGAAAGCGTTTGAGTATCGACTCGAAACTCATTAGATTGCCAAGCAAGTATGCTTGAACTCTTTCAACAGCAGTTTGCTTGCCTTCTTGATTAATACTCAGTATTTCCATAAAATCAACCCAAACTGTAATTAAGAGGTCAACACTAAGGTCAAAAAACAATCAAGTACCCTCAAACGACTAAAAATTCAAGTTTTTGACAAACAAAGTGACTTTTAATCAGGAAAGAACCGCACGGTTTTGCATGATTTCGCAGTTTTTGTAGGTATGGAAAAATTCTTGTCATACATTTTTCATAAAAGAATTTGTATGATTAAAATTTTTTGTTTGGATGTCAACTCAGAAAATTGGAATGCATCGTAATTTGAGTTTAGACGCAAGTTTTATTAGCGGTAACAAGTATTAAAAGCATTAACCCAGTAATGGTTTTAGTAGATGATTTGTGTTTTAGGCACATCGCTATCCCTCTATCTGCGTTATGGTTTCTCCGAAGTTATTCTTGCCTTAAGCTTCTTTTTATCCCCCTTTAAAATGTGGTCGCTCAACACCCCGTAGCTTGTCGACCAGTTTTTGTCGCCTCGTGCTTTTTTGTCTCCTAGCTCTCTCTCTCTTCTTGTATTTCCAACAATTCTCCTTCTTAGCCATTATTCAAAAAGCAGCCTCTTGAGACCAAAAGTTGCCTATCATCCGCCTTGTCCTGACTTTCAAAGGAGTTCACACCTTTCACCGTTTAAGCTACAAACGCCCAGAGGGAGCGTGGCTTCAGCAGGGCTGAGCAAATCTGGACAGCCAAGCGTGTCCTCCTATCTGTGGCAAAATTCAGCTAAATCGAAATCCCAGGATCGGCTACGGTCAATGGGCTTATTAATTTTTGATTTGGTAAACCAAAAATTCACATTTGAATTTCAATTTACTTTGTCTTCGGAAATTCGTGTTTTCATTAAAAATGGGCTTCAAAATTTTGTTTCCCAACCGGGCCGGGCCTGAAGCAACCGGGCCGAGCCCGGCCCGGCCCGGCCATCAAACTCAGGCCCCGTTCCAACTCTGATTATCAATTTGATGATGGTAAGTTCTGTTTCAGATGTTAT